CGGCCCAGGCCCGGGGAGGCCGGGGACACAGCGGACGTCGGCCGGAGCTCCCAGACCGTTCACAGTGGACGGGTTCGTGGGCCTGGCAAACCTCCTGCCACGTGTGGCCTTATGTGTCCCCTGCTTGGTGTTCTTTGTTGTGTTTTTTAAAATATATATTTTTATTGATTTCAGAGAGGAAGGGAGAGGGAGATGGAAACGTCAATGATGAGAGAGAATCATGGATCGGCTGCCTCCTGCAGGTGCCCTGACTGGGAATCGAACCGTGACCTCCTAGTGCAGTGATGGCGAACCTATGACACGCGTGTCAGAGGTGACATGCGAACTCATTGTTTTGGTTGATTTTTCTTTGTTAAATGGCATTTAAATATATTAAATATCAAAAATATAAGTCTTTGTTTTACTATGGTTGCAAAGATCAAAAAATTTCTATATGTGACACGGCCCCCAGAGTTAAGTTAGGGTTTTTCAAAATGCTGACACGCCGAGCTCAAAAGGTTCGCCATCACTGGTCTAGATGGTGTCTCAGGGAGGAAAGGCCAGGGGGTCCAGACCCCAAACCGCAGGACCAGATGCGCTGGGGGAGGAGGGTCCCCGCGAGGCCTGGGGCTCTCCGCCTGGGGACCTCCTGGACCCGCCCCGCATCCTTGCCGGCAGCTGGCTCCCTCCTGTTCCCAAGGGGCGTCCATTGTTCGGGGCCACCGAGGTTTACCTCTTGATGGCCACTCGGGTTATTTTAAGACCTGTTTTTAAAGCGCATTCGTTGTTGGCGGACGTGTGGATACGTCCGGCTTCCTTCCTGGCCTTTGCCCGGCTGAGTCCCCGGCCAAGATCACACGCCACCACCACCCCCCGCCCCGTCTGTTCCTCGCAGAGCCCCGCTCCGGTGCCGGCGCCCAGCTCACTGCCCCCGTCCGGGCGGCCCTCCTGACTACAGGGAAGGTTTGACAAGAGGGGGTGGCGTCCAGCCCGGGGTCACCCCTCTCCCCACAGGAAGGTCACCCCCTCCGGGAGGTGATGCCAGGGTAGCTGGTGAGCCAGCTGTGGCCTGAAGAGGTGAGGTGTGGCTCAGGGGTTGAGCATCGACCTATGAACCAGGAGGTCACGGTTCCATTCCTGGTCGAGGCACGTGCCCGGGTTGCAGGCTCGAACCCCAGTTTGGGGCGTGCAGGAGGCAGCCGATCCATGATTCTCTCTCATCATTGATGTTTCTCTCTCCCTCTCCCTGCCTCTGACATCAATAAAGATACATTGAAAAAGAAGTTCATGAAATGTGGGGGGATCTGGCAGAACTGAGCCCTCAGGGCCGCAGGAGCCTGGAAGGGGGGTGGCCGCCGATGCCTTTGGTTTGGGGGTGACCCCATCAGTGCACCACAGCCCCCCACACACACACACCAGTGGTCCTCTGGGTCCCAGATACCGTGTCCACATTAGGACTGAGCTGGAGACAGGCCTTTCGCTCCCCACGGCTGGCACACAAGGCCCTTCCTCCTCCCCCCGCCGCACGCCCCAATCTTGTGGCCTTCACCTCACAGCCAAGGGGTCAGCGGAAATCCGTCACCGTGGTCCGGGCTCCCCCTCCCCACCCAAGCAGGACCTTCCTGGACAAAGGTCAGGGTCAGGCCTGCGGAGGCGGCTCACTCACGTAGGCCCCCGTTCCAAGTGAGGGGGAAGCGAGGACAATCCTAACACTTGTCGCAGCTGCCGGGCGGGGGGTGGAGGCGCTGCTCGGGGAGGGGGCCTGTGGTGAAGCGCTGAGAACAGCCCTGGCCGGTGTGGCTCAGTGGATAGAGCGTCGGCCTGTAGACTGAAGGGTCCTGGGTTCGATTCTGGTCCAGGGCACCTGCTCCGGTTGTGGGCTGATCAATGAGTCTCTCTCCATTGCCAGGGTCCCCTGATCGGGCTGTTGTTATTAAAACACACAAAAGCCCAGCTGAGTGTGGCTCAGGGGTTGAGCGTTGACCCAGGAACCAAGAGGTCACCCTCAATTCCCGGTCAGGGCACAGGCGCAGGTTGCAGGCTCGATCCCCAGTGGGGGGCGTGCAGGGGGCAGCCGGTCAGTGATTCTCATCATTGATGTTTCTATTCCCCTCTCTCCCTCTCTGAAATCAATAAAACACACACACACACCCACACACACCAGCTGACTAGATTCCCTATTAACTTTAATCGTGCAAACCCCTTTCCGGACGTGCTGTGGGGGCCGGGTGTCGGCCGGCTCTGTGTGGGGGTGGGCGGGCGCGAGGCCCTGGTCGCCCTCCTCACTCCTCACGGCGCATTTGTCTCGCCCCCAGAACGTGCGCATCGACCCCAGTAGCCTGACCTTCAACATGTGGAAGGAAATCCCCGTCCCCTTCTACCTCTCCGTCTACTTCTTCGACGTCGTCAACCCCAGCGAGGTCCTGCAGGGCCAGAAGCCGCAGGTGCGGGAGCGCGGCCCCTACGTGTACAGGTGAGCAGGGAGGCCCCTACGTGTACAGGTGAGCAGGGAGGCCGTGGGGCGGGCCAGTCCTTCATTCATTCACTCACTCACTCATCCAGTCCTTCATTCATTCACTCACTCACTCATCCAGTCCTTCATTCATTCACTCACTCACTCATCCAGTCCTTCATTCATTCACTCACTCACTCATCCAGTCCTTCATTCATTCACTCACTCACTCATCCAGTCCTTCATTCATTCACTCACTCACTCATCCAGTCCTTCATTCATTCACTCACTCACTCATCCAGTCCTTCATTCATTCACTCACTCACTCATCCAGTCCTTCATTCATTCACTCACTCACTCATCCAGTCCTTCATTCATTCACTCACTCACTCATCCAGTCCTTCATTCATTCACTCACTCACTCATCCAGTCCTTCATTCATTCACTCACTCACTCATCCAGTCCTTCATTCATTCACTCACTCACTCATCCAGTCCTTCATTCATTCATTCACTCACTCATCCAGTCCTTCATTCATTCACTCACTCACTCATCCAGTCCTTCATTCACTCACTCACTCATGTAGTCATTCATTCTTCACTCTGTTACTCATTCATCATTCACTCATTCTTCACTCAGTTACTCATTCACTATTTTATTCATTCACTCACTGATTCACGTGCTCATTCATTCACTCACTCATTCATTATTCACTTATTCAATCACTCATTCATTCACTCACTGATTCACTAAATTCACTCACCCTTTTAGTCATTGATTCGTTCATTCATTGATTCACTCATTCGTTAGTCACTCTTTCAGTCATTGATTTTTTAAAAATATATATTATTGATTGTTTACAGAGAGGAAGGGAGAGGGATAGAGAGTTAGAAACATCGATGAGAGAGAAACATCGATCAGCTGCCTCCAGCACACCCCCTACTGGGGATGTGCCTGCAACCAAGGTACATGCCCTTGACCGGAATCGAACCTGGGACCCTTGAGTCCACAGGCCGACTCTCTATCCACTGAGCCACACCGGTTAGCGCAGTCATTGATTCTTTAACTCACTCATTCAATTCACTCACTCACTCGTTTACTCATTTATTCATTGATTCGCTCACTCGTTCACCCAGTGGATTTCTGTGGCTGTTCTAGGCACAGGGAACCCCGAAATGGACAGAAGCACTGAGCTGCCTGCAGCCGAGCGGGGGAGGGCGGGTGACGATGAATAAGTAAAATCCTATGTTAGTGTCGGGGGAGGGGGACCTAGGGCTGTGTCGGGTGCGGTACGTTAGGTCTGAGACGACCAGGTGGGCTCTCGGAGAAGGTGACACGTGAGCAGAGACTCACGGAGGCGGACTGGCCAGGTGGAGGGGACGTGTTGGCCTTTGGGGTGCTCTCCTGGGCACCGATGCGCCTCGCATGTCCTGTGGTGGGCAGATGGCGGGAGGACGGACTGGGGGGGGCGTCCAGGCTCAGCTGTGGCGCCGGCAGGTTGGAGATGTGCA